TTGCTGCAGGCAAAAGACAGAAATAAGACTAGCTGTTGCAGGCAAGAAGGGCCGGCTTCACAGCATGCGCGTAAGAACAGCAGCAGCAGCGAGAAGCAGCTGCTGCAGCAAGAAGCAGCAGCGAGCAGCAACTGCAGCAGCAACAAGCAGCAGCAAACCTTGTCTTCGTGCGTTCCTCGTGGCTGCAGAGACCTCGTGGGGCTGGTGCGCATGCAGCACCCAAATCTTCACTGAAGCAGCAGCTGCTGTTGCCAGCCGCTCGTACTGCCAGTAGCGCCGCCCTGCAGCAGCAGCAGCAGCAGCAGCAGCAGCAGCAGCAGCAGGGGTTATACCGCAGCCTAGAGTAGTGACCGCAGCAGCAGGGCTTATCTATGTGGGGCGTCGGCTGTTGTCGCCTCCCCAGAGCCGGAACAACGGCAGCAGCAGCAACGGCAGCAGCAGAAGCAAAGCAGCAGCAGAAGCAGAATCAGAAGCAGCAGCAGCAACAGCAGCAGCAGCAGCAGAAGCTGCAGCAGGACAGCGGTGGCTCTCACCCGCGGGGTGCCTGCCTGCTGCTGGCCCATGCTGCTGCTTCTGCTGCGAGGCTGCTGCTGCTGCTGCTGCGCGGCGCTGCTTGCCGGGCCCCGTCTCAGCAGCAGCGCCGCTGCTGCTGCAGCCCTTGCTGTTTCTGCTGCTGCTGCTGCTGGGCGCTGCATGCGCAGAAACATAAAGAGGGTGAGGCTGGAAAGCCAAAGAAGATATGGGCAGGCCCCCGTGGTGCACATTGAGTAGTCTTTCGACGATCATCCTGTCTTGCTGCTGCTGCTGCTGCTGCTGCTGCTGCTGCTGCTGCCCGTGCTTGTGCTGCCGTTGCAGCTGCTGCTGTCCCTAATGATGCAGGCTTGCTGAGGCGCTGCTGTGGCGCTGCTACAGCACCTTCTGCTGGCGTTGACTGCTGCTGCTGCTGCTGATGCTGCAACGTGTCCGGTTCAAGCTTGCAGCTCTTTCAACTGCTGCTGCTGCTGCTGCTGCTGCTTTCGCGCCTCTGACTGATGCTGTTGTTGCTGTTGCGCCTCTGACTGATGGCCCTGCTCCTGCTGCACCTCTGGCTGCTGCTGCTGCTGCTGCTGCTGAAGCTTCTGCCTCAACATGGGGGGATGTATGTGCTCACGGGCTGCGGCAGCCATTCAGCCGTGGCTGTTCCCCGGGCACTGCCTTGCAGCAGAGGCTCCTGCTGCTGCTGCTGCTGCTCCCAAAAGCAGCAGCTGTTCTCCAGCTTGCTGCTGCTGCTCAGGCACGCCGAATGCGCCTCAGGAGGCGCTGCGAAGGGCGAAGCCTTTCTCGCTGCTGCAGCAGCAGCAGCGACAGCAGCTGCTCTTGTACGTACGCTTTCCCCTAGAAGTCCACTCGGGAAAATCCATATCTTGCTGCTGCTGCTGAGGCTTTTGCCGCTGCTTCCGTTTCCCATGCTGCAATGCTGCATGCGTCTTCTTGCTGCTGTCGCCTGCAGCCCCGCATTACCAGCAGCAGCAGCTAGCCCTCAAAATGGCCAACGTGATTATATTACATAGTTGTTTCTGTTCTGACTAAAACGTGTGATAAGATCCAGCAGCAGCGGCAGCTCCTGCTGCTGCTACTGCTGCAGCAGTAGCTGCCAGTCTTGGAGGGCGGTGCCGACTAGCTGTCTCCTCAGATATAGGAGGGAGCAGCAGCAACAGCAGCATTTGTAGCAGCAGAAAATTTCAGCTGCTGCTGCTGCTGCTGCGTCTGGAGGGACGATGGGCGACTGCGTTCGGTGGTTCCCTCGCGTGCTGCTCCTCCTTGCAGCAGCAGCAGCAGCAGCAGCAGCTGGCTGCGGTGTCTTCTGCTTCGCGGTCAACCAGTCGTCTGCTTCTGCTTCCTCATGCTTCAGCTGCAGCGCCGCGCCCTTTTCCCGCCCCTCGTTTCTTTTGAGCAGAGTCTGGCAGCAGCAGCAGTGCAGCAGCAGCAGCAGCAGCAGCCGCTGCTGCTGCTGCAACAGTCAGAATGCCCCGGTGGCTTTTATTGTTTCATTAGGCGCTCCGCGCAGAGGCGGCAGCAGCAGACTTGCTGCTGTTTCCGCCCAGCAGAAGCAGCAGCAGCGGGAGCAGCAGCAGAAAGAGATACTGCAGCGCAGGAAGGCAAACCAGGCGAAGCAGCGGGAGCGGCTGCTGCAGCAGAAGGAGCAGCGGCGACAGCAGCGGCAAGATCGGCAGCAGAAGCGGCAGCAGCAGCAGCACAAGTTGAGTGGCGCAGTCACTAGGGAGGAGATCGTCGCTCTGCGGGCGAAGCAGCGGCTGCAGCGGCAGCAGAACCGCAAGAAGCAGCTGCAGCAGCACCTGCTGCTGCTGCAGCAAAAGAGGGAACAGGCGCAGCAGCAGCGGGAGCGGCAGCGGCAGCGCCTGCAGCAGCTCTGCCAGGAAGCCAGAGAGGCCGAGCTGCTGGAGCAGCAGCAAAACTCTTTAGGGAAAGCAACAACGAGGGAGGGCAAAAGCCTCAAGATTGCTGAGGCCAAGTATTTGCTGCGGACTTCGCTGCTGCTGCTGCAGCTCAAGACGCTCACCAGCAGCAGCAGCGGCAGCAGAACGGCTGCTGCGGGGCTCACGCAAGAGCAGCAGCAGCAAATGTTCAAAGCGCTGGTCCTCCATGGCCTTCACAACTTCGTGCTGCTGAAGAGAGTCAAGAACTCCCTCATGCGCACCGCCATCCTGCAGCTGCAGGAAGAGCAGCAGCAGCAGCAGCAGCAGCAGCAGCAGCAGGAACAGCAGCAAGCGCAGGACGAAGAAATGTATGCGCGTCTTTGGGGCCGCTTCGATGATCCTCCTTTGAGCGATGAAGAGATTCTGGAAGCTTTAGGAGTTGATCTGCAGCAGCTGCAGCAGCAAGAAGAGGCTGAGGCGAAGTCAGCTGCTGCTGGTGCTGCGGGGCGCGGAGGCCGCAGCAGCAAGAGCAGCAGCAGCGGGAAGAAGGACGCGAAGAAAAAGGAAGGCGGGAAGCCTGCTGCTGCTGCTGCTGCTGCTGCTTCTGCTGCTTCTGCTGCTGAGACCTCCGGCATCGACTGGGACAACTTGGAGCTGCCGGAGCCAGAAGACTACCCAGCAGCAGTTGCAGCAGCAGCAGCAGCAGCAGAACTAGCGAAAGCTGCTGTACCTGTTGCTGGTGCTGCGCGCAGCGTGTCAGAGTCTGCTGCGCTGCTGCTGCCGCATCTTCAGGGGGCGTCTTTGTACGCGTTTGTGCATGCATCAGCAGCAGCAGAAGACCGGCTGGGGGAGGCTTTGCGGCTGCTGCTGCAGCAGGCTGCTGCTGCTGCTGCTGCCAACAAAGAAAGAGCAGATGAAGCAGCAGCAAGCGACGCCCGCAGAAAACCCAAAGACAAATACATTTATGTCCCGGTGGCTGGGGCCCCTCCTGAGGAGCTGTTTGCTGTTTTGATGCAGCGGGGCCTTTCTGCTGCTGCTGCGAAGGCAGAAGACGCGGCCGCTGCAGCAGCAGCAGCAGCTGCTGCTGCTGCTGATTCAGCAGCAGCAGCAGCAGCGCTCGGCACTCCGCCTAAACCTGCTGCAGCAACTCTCCCTGCTGTTGCCTTGACCCCAGAAAGGCTCATTCCCCCCCAAAGCATTTCGCTGCTGGCCGATTTCCCCAGACGCAAAGAGCTCACCCAAAGGCTCGCCGGTGAGACACAGCTGCTGCTGCTGCTGCTGCTGCTGCTGCTGCTGCTGCTGGATGCTGCAGCAGCGCTGCGCCGCAAAGTTCACAGAAACAAGCCAAGGAAGCCATAGATAGCACTTGCGAAGTACAGTTGCTCTGGCGGCTGCTGCTGCTGCTGCTGCGCCGTTGCTGCTGCTGCGCTGCCAGCCGGTGCGGTTCGCTTCAAAGAGCTGCCCTTGCTAATGCTGCTGCTGCTGCTGCTGCTGCTGCTGCTGCTTTCTGCAGGTCAACTTCTGTCTCCGCCCTTCCGCCTCCTAGGGACGCTGCAGGGCTGCTGCACTTCAGTCAGTTTGACGCTGCGGGCCGCGCAGCAGCAGCTGCTGGGGCTTTTGCTGTATGGCCGCATGAAAGCGGAGCAGCAGCAGCAGCAGCACCTCGCGCTGCAGCAGCAGCAGCAGCAAGAATAGCGGCGGCAAGGTAAGATCTGACGCAGGCGCTCTGTGCTGCACTCGCAATGTAAAGAATTCATTTCTGTTTTTTTTGCTGCAAGTCCCAGAAGGGTCAAAAGCAAAGAAGCAGTTTCCTGGACAAAATGGGAACAGGTCACTTCGGGCTGAAGCTGTAGCCTTGGCAGCAGCAGCAGCTGCTGCTGCTGCTGCAGCTGCTGCACCCGAATTCACACCAGGAGCAGCAGCAGCAGCCGCTGCGGCAGCTGCAGGTGCTGCAGCAGCTACAGCTGCAGCACCAGAACCACCAGCAGCGGCTGCTGCTGCTGCTGCAGCTCCAGCAGCCACTGTCTGTCGTCCCTGCACCTGCCGCTGCTGCTGCTGACAGCAGCAGCGGCAGATAGGGGGGAGGTGTCTGTACACTGGAAAGCGCAGCAGGCAGCAGCAGTGAGTTTAGCTTTTTTCTTTTTTCATTTCAGTTCTACTGACTGGCATTTGAGTTAGAAAGATGCTGCAGATGCAGCTAAGCCCTAAAGCCTAAATCCTTTCTAGCTGCTGCTTCGCTTTAGGTCGTTCGGGCTAGAGAGAAGCAGCCAGGCAAACCCTAAACCCTAAACCCTAAACCCTAAACCCTAGGCGGGGCAGGCCTGCAGACACGCGGGGACTCTGCAGCACAAAATCTATAATTGTAATTATTCAAGTTGCTGCTGCCATTTGGCCCAAGTGCCACAAAAGCCCTGGGGTTGCTGCTGCTGCTGCTGCTGGGTTTGCGAGTGTGCTCTGCTGCCGGTATTTGTGAGAAAAGAATTATTTCTTTTGGATATTTGGGTCTTCTAATTAAATGATTAAGTCCATTAAACAACTCCATTTCTTTCCCAATTTTATCTTCTACATAGTGAGAAGAGGTGCATGCCGCAGCATCCCTTTTCTATAGTTAACAGCTGCAGCCTCCGCCCTGACACCAGCAGGCAGCAGCAGCTGCAGCAGCTGCAGCAGGTGCTGCAGCAGCTGCAGCAGCAGCTGCTGCTTCACGCTCCTCATCGCCGCGAGTGCAGGTAAGCGCGTATATGGGGCTGGCGGCACTTCCCAGCAAAAGGCTTCACTCTTAACAGTTCTAAACCCCAAAAGGGTGTTTGACCTCAAAACCCTAAAAGGTCCTTCACGGTTTGAGGCCCTAAACGCTATTTTGGGGTCTAGAGCTTTAAACGCCCTTTAAGGGTTTACAGCCCTTAACCCCCTCTTGGGGTTTAGCAAAAACACCTGCTGCTGAGAGCCCCCGCAGGCTTTTGCCTTCACGGGCAATATGGCGTTACCCCCGTGGCTACAAAATTGCCTGCGGTGTCCCCAAGCCTGCAGCAGCAGCAGCAGCAACAGCAGCAGCAACAGCAGCAGCAACAGCACCAGCTGGAAGAGTCCAGCGGCAGCACAGGCGCCACAGAGGCTGCACGGTGAACTTGTAGGGCCCTCCACCCTCTCTACAAGAGAACAAAGAAGCAGCAGCAGCAGCAGCAGCAGCAGCAGCAGCAGCAGCAAAATACTGTAAGAGGGGTTTAAACGCCACTAGCAGGACTAGACAACTCCTAGCCACATTCCCAGCGGTCTGCACCAGGCACCAGCGTGGGGCGTTGCTGCTGCTGGTGCTGCTGCTGGGACAGCAGCAGCTGCTTCTGGCCCAGCAGCAGCTGCTGCAGCGGTAACACTGGTCAGAATGAACCTAAAGAGGCCCGCCCCACAAAATTCGAAGCAGCTAGCCACTACAAATCCACGACAGCCTATCTAAGCAGGGCGAGTCGCCGTGGCCCAGCGACGACAGCTGCAGCTTTGCTGCGGCTTTGCTGCAGCGAACAGCAGCAAAGTTGCATCCGTTGCTGGCCCCCAGGCCCTCAGCAGCAGCAATAATGCCTTAATGTGCCTCTAATGGCTCATGTGCTGTCGCTCGGGGGTCTCTGGGGGTTGTTGGCCTGCGCAGCGGGGCCGCGTGTCCTGGAGCTGCTGCAGCAGCAGTAGCAGCAGCAGCAGCAGCAGCAGCCCTGGGGGGAGTGGGGGCTGGGGGTGGGTGTGTTTGTGGGGGCAAAGGGCGTTTGTGTGGAGGAAAAAAGTGCATTTGGGAGTGAAAGAAAGTGTCGGAAGTGTGCAGACTTGGGGAACGGCGAGGAGCTGGTTGGTGGGCGGAGTTGCGGCGGGTGTGGGGCTGCAGCGTGAGGCCTGTGAGGCCTCTGCGTTGTGTGGCTTCTGGGGGTTTGCTGGGTTTGGGTTTTCGGGGTTTTGCAGAAGAAAGTGTTTGTGACTTTTCGAGGCATGTTGAGCATTCTCGAGGCCTGCTGCAGGTTGGGCCGCGAACGAAAGACGCGCAGAGCGACGAGGCCCCCACGCTGGGCTGCAAGATGATTGGTTTCCTGCAGCTGCTGCGGGCGTGTCGGTTCTCGGCTTCCGCGGCGCTGAGCGCCGCTGCTGCTGCGAGCAGCAGCAGCAGCCGCGGGGGCGGTGCGCGGCGGCGGCTGGCTGCTGCTGCTGCTGCGGGGGGGGGCCGCGCGCTGCAGCAGCAGCCGCGGCCGCGGGAAGACCGCTTCCCGGGGCCCCCGCCGCGGCTGTGTGCCTCCGCGCTGGCGCTTGCTGCAGCGAGTTCCGCGCTGCTGGTGGCTGCGCTGGACCCGCAGGGCCCGCCTTCGCCTGCGCAGTGCGAGGGGGCCCCCGGGGGCCCCTCGGGGCCCCCCGGGGCTGCGTCTTCTGCGGCGGGCGCGGCGTCGGGGCCGCCGCGGGCGCGC